GGGCGTCGCGGGGCGCGGGCGGCGGGGAGGTCTGGGCGGGAGCAGCCTGGGGCAGCGTTCAGCGCTGCCGCGTGCGCGAGGGAAGCGATGCTGCGACAGCGCTCTGCTCTCTCTTCCCTCCAGTACCAAAGGGCTGTGAGCCTGGAGTCGTTTTCCATCATCCTGGCGCAGCTGCTGGGGCTGAGCCTGGGAATGACCTATGACGGCTCCAGAGACTGCCAGTGTCCCGGGTCCGTTTGCATAATGAACTCTGAGGCCTTGTAAGTTTTTTGTTGTCTGTTTCTGTCTGTGACGTTGCCTTTTTCCTGTTGGAACTCTAGTTACCAGATGTAGGTGTGCTAGAACATAAACAAGTATGATTTAATAATAATAATAATAATAATAATCCATTTCAGACGTTTTGGTGGGGTAAAAACCTTTAGTAGCTGCAGCATTGGAGACTTTGAAAACTTTCTCAGGCAAAATAGAGAGTGCCCTTTCAGTAGATCGTATGTGAGTGGACCGTCCTACAAGAAAGCTGCAGTCTGCGGCAATGGTGTTGTGGAACGTGGAGAGCAATGCGACTGCGGGTCACTGCAGGTTAGTACCATACTTTGCTTAAACAATAAAGGGTTATACTTCTGTTTTGAGGAATTGCTTCTTGAGAGTGAATATAAGCTGGAAGTTGTCTCTAGTGGTTTTTACAGCATTTCTGTAGTAACACATAGATTTGCAGCTTTACTCCTCTTCCTTTGGATCCTACCATGTATGCCATGTATTAGGAGGAACAGGGGTAGGGCAAACGGTAATCCTACAAATGAGGAAATTTAAAGCAAATAATGATTTTTGTTCTGTTTCCAGATGTGTGCAAAGGATAAATGCTGTACTCCTCAATGTAAGTTCAAACAAGGAATGAAGTGTTCCTCGGGACTGTGCTGTGAAAATTGTCAGGTAAGGTGTGTTCATAATTATCAGAAGTTGAGGTCATTATTAAATTTTGGAGAGTTCTTCTGTAGTAGGACTATAAATTAGCTTTCTGCTTTTGCTTGGACAGTGACCTCCAAAAAACT